TTATACGTTGAAGATTTGGTTGGTCTAAACTCCCCACTTTTTGCAACCTTTCGAAATGTGCCACGTTCCATACATACATTCACAAAGTAGCACCACTCATGCCTAAACCATCAAGACTAGTTTTTACAGCTTCACTGTTTAGTTCATAAATTTGACTTTTATACTTATACCCAACTCGTGTATAGGTACTGAGCAAATTATAAAATGCCCTGAAATCTTTCCTTTATCTTTTGCACAACAATCTGACCATTTTTCTCGAATTGCACATCATTGCAGAAACCATTAATAATTTGTTAAGGGTTTATTATTTTTCAGCGCTTTCAACATTATTATTATTATGGATTATGGGTATTCCTGTCAATTTGGTTATGACAATGATGATTTTTTTTTACAAAATTGAAAACGGCGTTACGTCTTAGTTTATAATTTTCCCAGTTAGTTGTATTGAAGATTTTATCATCATACCAGGGTAGGTCGTTTATACCATATTCATCGGTTAACTTTCTGGTCATTTTAGTGCGCTTCCCTGCTGTAGCAGTTCTTACATTTTGAAAAAACATTTAACACTTATTATGGAGTGATCAGTGATCTTGGACTCGTCCACCACTTTAACAATTTTTGAATTATCCTGATTCATCAATACACTTTTACTGGTGTTATTTTCCACATTTTGATGTATTTGATGTATGCTATAAGCATTGAAAAGATCTGTAATTCCCGAGTCATCGATAANTAAATTCATTAGACAAAAAGTCTAAATTTTTAGAAATGAATCTTTTTGCTTCCTATATTTTCGTACAGAAAGTGTGGGTAACTTCCGAAGAAGAGATTGAAGGAAAGAGCAATATCTAATACATTTTCCACTTTGATCTGATTATGATATTACTTCAGTATGGAAGTTAAAATAGAATTCAAGACTTAAACTGCTACTTGTAATTTTAGAATATATTTCTGATTCTTTAGTATCATTCTTTATTTTCAGAATATTCATTCTCCGGTAATCCATTTTTGTCTATTGATTTATGAAAGACTACGAAATAATTAATTTGCAATATTACGTTAAATATAAATAGTTCAAATAATTTTGTTGTTTTTTCTCGGTCCAGTTTTAGGGTACAATAACATGTGTCTTTTTTCAGACATCAGGAAGCGGCTTAGAGCTTCGGAAGATCAAGATCCAAAAATATCCTCAACATGTGACCCACTTCGGAAACTTATAGTTTCTCCTGGAGATAACAACATGAACAAGTTGAATAAACTAACCGAAAAGCAGGAGGATTTCCTTCTCAACAAAATAATTATGCAAATGGAGAAAAATAAATTGAAAGAGGCCAAGAAAAAAAACAAATCGGAATCATTCCGCATATCTTTACAGCCAATAAATGAAGGGAAATTTATCATTAGTCACAAAGATAAAAGGCATATAGATAAGGCGCACGAAAACTCTGAACCGAATCGCAAACCAGAACCAAACAAAATGAAACGTATTGTAGAGGAAAGCTTGATACCTTTCAACGACAATGACGAAATGTACGTAGGACCGATGCCACCACAGGGCGATTTCATGTCCGGTCCTTTTTTTCTAAGAGATGGTATGGAAATGAGAAGATTTCCTGGTCCTTCTAATTGGAAAGGTGATCGAGGCGGTCGAAGTTCATGGGAAAATCGACCAAGAATGACTGTCAGGTCATGGAATCAACCAGCCACATGGAGACATTTGCCTCCCCATCAACAGCAAAGGAAGTATCCTCCACAGCAGTTTCCACATCCTATAGATTTCCCTCTGACACGAGGAGAGAAACTCCCAGTTTCTTCCGACATCGAACCGAAAGATCATTTACCAAGTGGAGCTGTTAACGATGATGAGTTTAAGACTATTGTCATTGATGGCGTTCCGAAAGATATTCGATTCTACGGCGAGTTGGGTATCACGTTCATCAGCTGGGATGATCCCAGGGAGTTGACATTCCAGGATGATGGTGTTCGACAGATCACATTCAACAATAAAGAGTCTTATACGTTTTCTTTGAACCATTCGTACAAAGAGGTTCTAGTTAATGGACGTCTTCATAAGGTGAAGATCGGTGCTCCCAGCAGGGAGATCTTCATCGATCAGGTGCCTTATGAATGCCGCTTTGGTAGTGCTATTCGTATTGACTTGGACGGAGTCAGCATAACCTTGAAGCTGGAAGGACCGCCACCTCAAGTTAAAATTGGTGACACAAAAAGGACAGATCTAGTTGCTGGCAAAATTAATGTGTGCATAGACGCCGAAGTTGTACCCGTGTTTCTAGATGCTAAAGTTCAAAAGTTTGTTCTTAACGGTGAAACGCACACTTTAAAATTTGTAAATGCGTTGGAAACGGTTTTAATAAATGATGTGCCTTTTAATGTTGAATATGGTGGTCTCCCTGAACCTATTGTAATAAATGGTAAACAACATTCCATAAGATTTCCAGTATTGCCCAAAGGTACAAAGCCCGGTAAGGTGAATATCAGGGATATGGAGGGCAATGGCAACATAAGCCCTAAGTTCGACAAGAAGAGCCAAGAGAGCAATTCTGATACCCGCGATCCACCTCTGCCAATCTATAGGAACCTCTTGCAGCAAGAAAATATGAGTGAGTGGAGTTCGCAGAATGATATGATACCTACATTGGCCTCCATCCCTGAAGCTGGAGCTCATCAGGTTGAAAACCAATCGAACCCGGATGTTCCAAAGAGTGGAACTACAACTTCTGAACCAATTCCAATTATGAATGTCGGTGACTTGTTCCAGAAACTAGTAGCGTTTGGTTTTATTACTTCTACAGACCAGAAAAATCCACCAGTTTCACAGGTATGTAATTTAGCTGTGATCAGCATTTAGTTAAGTCTTTTGTTAAAACTATACTAGATGTTGATGATGAGGATGAAGATAATAATGATGTAGATACGGAACCAATGGAGGTGGTATCCTTGGAAAGTGATGAATCCAAACAAGTACAAGATGAAAATGATAAGACTGAGCAACCCTTTGAAAAAGGAGGGTATGACAATAATGATGACGTCATTCTTAATGAGGTAAATATATCTGTTCATTGTGTTTTCATGATCATAATTTCGTATATTTGACCTAATTTTTGTTTTTTGTTAAGGTTGCCCCGATAGTGATTGTAGTTGACGATGATGAAGAAATGGGCCAAGATGGTACTGAATCTGAAATGAACGACAACACTGAAGTTAAAAGAGACAGTATGGATGATGGATTCGTTGAGGTATCATGTCTTGTGAGCCTGAAGAATGGAAAGCAAATGAAGATAAAAGCAGAGCCTGTGGATTTAGGTGAGTTTATAAATCAAGAAGCTCTCACTGGTGCCTTACCGGAAGAACAGCCAGAGGAGCAACTGAAAGAAATTCCTCTCTCTCAAACAGAACTGCTAACTAACATGGATGGAAATATGGAGTTACTGTTTAATACTTCTTCAGTGCCTACCAGTGGGATAAGTTGTAACAAAATAAAAATTAACATTAGTAAATCATTGCCTGTGATAAATAAGGAGAAGGAAAGTGTAGTGGAAAGTGAAACTCCTTCAGAAACCTATATAGATCCTTTTGAACCTTTTCCTCCTGGGGAAGAGCCGGAGGCTGCTCTAAAACCATCCCTGAAGAATATTAAGTTATTGAAACTACCTCCAGTGCGAAAGGGCCACGAACTCACAGGGCTATGTTCTATAATGTGATTTTCGAAGATGTGTTTACTTTTGGATGACAATGTTCTTGTTTTCTTTGTGTTTTTAGTGGAAGCACCATTATTCTTTATCAGAATTTACATTCATGGATTGAATATACTTTATCTCTTGAAAATATATATATTTCTATGGGTATATTGATAATGAATACATTTAACGCAAATTTTTGTTTTATTCTGACAATTTTCTCAAGACATTGTTCCATCATGTTCGGTCGAATCTGTCACGCCAAAAGTTAGAATATCGATTTCTAACTCATCCTGAAAACGACATGAACCTTACGAATCAGGAAGATAAAATGGATTTTTTTTATTAGAAAAAAAAATCTTCAACCAAATTGGTTTTGAGCGTTACAGTTCAGGTTATATATCTAATTATAGTTGGATTTTGAAGAAGTATTATAGAGAAAGAAAGGTTTTTGCGAAGAAGTAACAGACACGAACTGAAAGAATTTTTATGACATGACAAAACAAATGACTGTTTTTCACAAAAGCGTTACAAGAATTTATCACTTTTCAGGAGAATAATTTTTTCTGTTATTCTATTTGGAAAATATTCCAGTCACATAGTATTTAAATGTATAGAATCCTTACAAGAACCTTCGGCAAATTGACCCATAACTTGGGCTACTGCTTTCAGTTTTCCAAAATTTTCACGAGTGTCATATGCATAAGGCTAAAACTAATTTTTTACCTCAATTCGAAATATACTTCATTCTCTCCAGAAAGTGTGCTTATTGACGTAGCGTTTGGGAAAAATATAAATGAAATATAAATGAAAAAATACAAGTAGATACATACATACAGATAAAATGAATATATGCAATTTAACAATATAAAGTCATTAAAATAAACTTCCATAACTATTGAAGTAAGTTGCATTCAGTTTAAATTATTTTAGAATTCAGGTAGTTTATTTTTGATAAGTTTAGTTCCCGTTTACCTATAATAGGCCCTTATAACAAAAAAATGTTTTACCTCATTTCTAACCTCTTTTCATTCTCTATTCGATTTCAAATAGTGGAAAGATAACTAAATAACTTCTTACTTNTATATTTCTGTATCTATGCTGTATTGACCTGTGTAAAAACTTGATGTTTATTTTAACACCAATAAAATATTCTATTCTATACAATAGCTTCCTCAAGCATATGAAGTGAAAATCTCACAATAAAGTGTTACTTGAATAAGTTATGAATTTTTATCAAGTATCAGCCAATTCCATCACATATGTTAAGAAGTAATATTTTGAATTGTTTTTCAACATCAGCAATCTCTTTTGGACCAAACGGGAGATGAGAGTAAAATCCAATCACCCGAACCAGCTAAACAAGAGGAAACAACTATTCCAGGCCTTGAAATAATAATAGATGTTGATGATGAGGATGAAGACAATAATGAGGTAGACACGGAACCAACGGAGGTGGTATCCTTGGAAAGTGATGAATCCAAACAAGTCGAGGACGAAAATGATAAGACTGAGCAACCCCTTGGAGAAGGAGGGGATGATGATAATGACGACGTCATTCTTAATGAGGTAAATATATCTGTTTATGAAGAAAAGAGAATTTAAACTTTCTATGTTTTTTGCCACTTTTATTCGTAACTAACGTCACTGCAGTTTTGTCCTATAAGGATATTTTCAAACTTATACCTTAAACTAACAATGATTAATTACAGTAACGCATTAGCCCTTATATAACATCACTGTACATACATCAATTTATATCTGTTGTCTTCATGATCCCATTTTTTGTTCATATGACTTAATTTTTTTTTGTTCAGGTTGCCCCGATAAAGATTGTAGTTGATGATGATGATGAAGAAATGGGCGAAGATAGTATCGAATCTGAAACGAAGGGCATCGTTAAAGTTAAAAGAGAAAGTTTGGATGATGGATTTGTCGAGGTGTCAGGTCTTGTAAGTCTACAGAATGGAAAACAAATAAAGATAAAAGCAGAGCCTGTAGATTTAGGTGAGTTTATAATTTAAAAAGCTCTTAATGGTTTCTTTGTTTTGGGAATGATCCGAATGCTCTACTTAAACCTTTGAATTTACAGCAAAACAAGTGATGATTTTTTTTTGTATAAACCCTGCATCTATTCATATGAAAAAAAAAACATTTGTATAAACCCTGCATCTATTCATCTGTAAAAAAAAACAAATTGAAACTGTACATTTTCAAAATGAACAATGATCAGTGCAATCATTTAAAAAGTTTAAAGTTACAAATATTATATGGAATACAGGTTTATTTGTTATTTTAGAATCAAATTAATTTTTCCAATCTATCAGCATGTATAACCATTTTTATGTGAATCTGGTCAATTGATATTTTATTTTTTAGCTTCAAAATCTACTATTGCACTATTTAATTGAATCAATGTTTATTCAATATTTTCTGTAATTTTACTACTTTCAGAATTTTGGTCTTCATCTTGTTCTTTCTTTTATACTACAGGACATGTCTTCACTACTATTATAGACTCTGTTTCAACAGTTTATCAACATTCTGTTTTGATCAAAATAAAATAAGTTGAAAACACTTTATTCATGTTAGTTGCATCATTGGGATTGATACATCAAACTATTCTATAGTGTTTTATATACAGTGTCATCCCCAAAGTATGCACCATATGCGAAACTTATTTATTAAGGGTTTTTCGACAAAAAGTTATTTTAGATAAAAGTTTTTGCATCGTCTACAACTAAACATGCACCAACAAAATACAGTACAACAAACGTAATATACGAGGAGCCTTCAAATATTTGATTTTGTGACAAGAGTAAAGTACTCTTATTTTGAAAAATCTCGAGAAATGTTATTTAGAAAAGTTGTTCAGCATTGAAAAATACATCTAGATATGAATTCATGGCCATCTAGTGAAGTTTTGCTAAAACGATAAATAGACAGCATCCTGTATATGACGGTTCATTTTAAAAACCTGTAACAAACTCATTGATTTGAAAATCAATGAGTTTGTTCCGAAATACCTATTTTATTTTGATGTTTTGTGATTTGATATTATTGAATATTAAATTTTTAATGTTTAAACGTATACAATGTTACAAACAAAAGTGGTAAAAAACATAGAAAGTTTCAATTCTCTTTTATTCATTTTTAGAATTTCCTATAATCCGTATTCATTCAATATTTGACGTTTGTCGTAAGAATAAACACAAAACAACTTTTCAGTTGTTTTTATCACTGAAAGAAAATGTCAACTCACAGCAGATAACAAACTAATATGAAAAGGTGCCGTGCAAGTATGAACGCTCGATATTATTTAGCGGTTTGTGCTGCGAAAAATAAATTTGGTCAACCATGAACGAACCTGCATACTGTGATCTGAGACAACATGAGTTCTGTGGAGGATACTGTGATTAGTGTGATTCAAGACTCTTGTACTCCCTGGACAAAGTTTATAGTTATTACTATAATAAAAAGAGCACTGGTCAATAGCGCCAAATCTATAAGCTGGGACCAAAATTAAGAAGATGAAGAAGAAGACTTTGACACTTGATATCGCAGCTGACACTTGTAATTTTAATTTATCATTCCCTTATGAAATTTATTCAATTCATTAGTGACCATGATTGCTCTCAGAGTTTCATACTTCTTGAGTAAGCTATTTGTTACGATTCCTTAGGATATACTAAATGCCGTCTTTTCAGGATGTACCAGTACAGGGTTGAGAAACTTATCCACGACTACCACAAAACCAAAAACTGGCGTCGTTCTCGTAAATATGGGGGGACCGGAAAGAGTGGACCAAGTTCATGATTACTTGCATAGAATAATGACAGATCGAGACATGATACAACTGCCAATAGCACAAGAGTAGGTTTGATCAATCAATCACTTAAAGTATTCTCTGCTTCAAAATATGATCTATAAAATAAAAAATTACAATTTTGCTCAACTGGCAGACCGAAGTCCTTCCGTCTGTGTAACAAAATTGCTTTAAAGTTGGATATTTTACAATATTACACACAAAAAAAACCTTGTATGAATATAAAGAAAAACTAAAACAATTTCATTGATAAAGCTGTGTTAGTCTTTATAACAGTGTTTCTGTTGTGTGGCAATGTTATACTTTTGCATGGAGGTTTCTTGTCACAGCATACTTTCTGGTGATTTCTACATTGTTGTCTTTTTCAGCGAACTACTGAATAAGTAGCGGTGGTCTTTCCTCGATTTTGATAATACCAGTGAGTTGTTACAGCAGAGGGTTAGGAGGGTTGTGTTTTGGGTTATTGGGATGCCGTAATTTTGTTGTGTTCCTGATAGACGTTGTTTCAGATACTTTAATCATTTTCAATGCCCTTTGTTCAATATTGAGAAACAGTGAGTGTGAGTAAGTGGACGGCAGATTAGTTTGTATATTCGGCTTGCTGTTGATGTGCTTGTGAAACTTGTGTCAAACTTGTGAAATGTGCGGCTTTTGCAATGACTTTATTTTTTTGTTATTGACGTGTCCGTTTAAATTTAGTCTGAAATCAAGCGTAACACCTAAGTAATTAACTGTCGATTTCGATGATTAAATATGATGAACTGAGACTAAGAGGGATTTGGCTGGAGCCTCCATTTATTGAACCAGTTATTCGTTATTGTTGCAAGATGTTCCAAATTGTTAATAACTTTGTCTAGCGTTTGATCGTGGGCAATTAGGGTGGTGTCATCTACATTCTGGAGAATATATGCTTCCTGCCTGAAGTGTTTGATATTCCCTTGTTGGTGACGATAAATATCTGAGCTGTATAAGTTATATAACAAAGGTGAGAACGGTGAACCCTGTGGAATTCCCTGCCCTGGGATTAATTCGTCTGAAAAACTACTCAGTATTTTAACTCTCAGTTTCCTTTGTTTGAAGGTGATTGACAATGTTTCTTGATGAATTTCAATAGTTCGGACTTCCATTGTCTACTATACAGGGCTTTTCATGATGAGTGTTAATTAGCCGTTTCTGACAAACTATTCAACGGATCAACCTGAAAATTTCACAGTATGCATAAATCAATATGACCTACACGCCTAAAATATTTCAGACGAAGTGGCGTTGTCGCTTCTACTATAAAGTAGCGGCTTCTTTGATTTTTCAAATGGAACACCCCGTATATAATATCATATTATGATTCATTATCACTTTGTCAACAAATTCATATACTATTTCCCTATACCTATCTATTACCGTTTGGAAGATATAAATTAATTTCCATATTTTTTTACCAAACATGAACTTTTATAAATGCTGATAATCTTGAACTC